TGTGGCTGTACCACACGAGAGATGTCCCGAAACGAGACACAAGCGAGCTTGCCGTGTCGCCGGGTGGAAACTCTATCCATGTCATGACGCGCTCGACGGGTGCGGCACACACGCCATCTTGTGGCAGCATCGTTGGCGGTAACGTCCATGGAAACATCGTGTGATTGGTTTTAGCTCTATATCTCGTTACATGCCCTTTCTTTCGATCGAAGACTTCTACGGCTTCAAGGGGTCCGTGGACATTGGGAGTATTGTGCAAGTCGACGAATAGTGCGACACTGAAAAGGTCAGGACGGGCAGCCGTAGCCGAACCGGAAAGACCTGGAACTATAGGTACCGGGCATGAATACGTGAAGCCCTCATCAATTGTGTCGTTCTTGGCTGCGACTCGTTTCGATAATGAGTGCCGCCGAGTCGGCTTCTGACGGCTGCGATTGGGTATAATAAGGGGGTGACCCTCTGTGGAAAAGACAAACGCAGCATCAACCTTGTTGAGAGCATGGTCTGGGTCGAAGAGGAGGTACATATACTTTGTTGTTTCACCAAGGAAGAAGCTCTCCATGCGATCAGAGAGCTCTCCTGTTCTGACATCTTGAAGACCAGCCCATCCACATGGAGCACGACATCGTCGCTCAATGTCTCTAAGAACCATCTCTCCGACATGCAAGTACCATGGGTCTTGTGTGGCACGGTATATATAATATGTTGACTCTATGAACTCGGGACGGCCTGGCCACCAACCGAGCCCCTGATCAACAGTGTTTTCGCGGACAGACCATCGCTCAGGCAAAGCAGCATACCGCGTCCAGAGAGCAGTATAAACAAGATTTGCCTCTACGGCTTCATCGACTTCGCCAGCCATAGCTAAGAGACCAGGATAGAAGGCACCCAAGCTATCAATCCACATAGTATATGGTTGCCCAGTTGTGCGATGATTATTCGAGTAGTAAGGGTAATGACTTTTGTCAGTGTACAAATATCGCTTGACAGAGGCGTGTGCCTGATGCCATGCATCCAAGAACGCCTCAGAGGTCTGTAGCTCAGTGGGCAGAGGAGGGTGGAGGACGTTGGGATCGAGCCACTCAGTGCTGCTCTGTCGGCTAGTGGTTGATTTGTTGGGCATGCCGTGTCCTGAAAGCAGGATATGGCTCTTCAAAGCATATTCGAAGAAGCTATCCATACCGGCACCAATTCCGGCGTGTGGCCCTATCCACTGCCCACCCTCTGCGTCCAGACCGTTACCGACGAGTCCAATTTCACTCCTTCGTCCCCAGACTGCCCAAAAAGCCCTCTTGGCCGCTTGCTCGAATCGAACGTCTCCTGATAAGCGACTGAGAACTGTGAACTCTAGGGTAAGACTTCCAGCGCCGGCACTGCAAGTCTCAGTGATCTCCCCCGAAGCAGCCTCAGGTTTGCCCTCCATGTGACGAAAGAGGGGCGAGTTGGTGTAGAAAGGAATCCCATGTCGAAGATTGACTCGAGGATATGGAATGCCGGTGTCTGTGTAAAAGGCTGGGAGAAGCCTTTGTCCAAGATCAAGGGCCAGCCTTAAAAGTTGGCCATCGTATTTGAAACCATTCGGCCATGTTATAGGCGCAAGTTCAAGAGGGTCATCGGCCTGGGTCGCCCAGGCTGGCTGCACAGTATAACCGCTGATAGGCAGCTCCCCTATGGCAAAAAGATGCGCACTGAGAAGGCCACCCAGTCCACGTATTACGGTCTCAAAAACCTGAACCTTGCTGTCGAGGTCAAATCCAGTCGCTCGAATGCCCTGGCCCGAAACACCTGGTCGTCCATCGCCATAGTATCGCACAAAATCCGCTATCCCATCTTGGAAATCACTCAGAGCTTTCGACCCTGTCCCTGACGCATCTTCGGGTCCTCCAGCGAGGATCGCAAGTGTCGATAGACTATCAATAAGTGTAAGGGAGTAATTTCCTAGGGCATCGTTCAGACCGATATGGGCGGGATTTTCTCGATCTCGGGTCAGGGGCGAGCACGTCAAAGGTCGAAGCTGTGGGAAAAAAGACAGTCAGCTTTGAGCGGTGATCAGCTGCGGCACCAGACAAACCTCATCCTCAGGAAATGCATGTTTCATGTAATTGCCAAAGCCATGATAGAACATATCAACTGTTTGTTGGCGCAACCGCACAAGGTGGTCCTGCCGCATTGCTTGAGTCGTCCATGATAGTGAGGCCCAGATCAAGAGCTGCACCCAGACCAATAACATCATGCCTCCTGGCTCGAATAGCCAATGCCTAGGCCTCCGAGACATTGGCCAAGGGAAAATGGCGCTTGAGAGCTACTGGGCTCATCGAGGGAAGCCTAAGAACAGCGAAACCGACTGTAAACCATACAGTTAACATACGAAATGCCTTGAATACGACACGCGACAGACGCTTGGCGTCGCGATTTGATAGTCTGGAAGAAACGAAACCCTCACGAATTCGTGGTGACAGTTGTTTCCTGTCATCCTTGCGCCACATGTGGCTTTGGCGTTGTGGCGGTTTGTGAACTGCGGTCCAATCAGATGCCGTGGTTAATGTAGGCTCTTTCCAAAACCAAGTCTCCGCGAAGTCAAATGTCTTGAGAGCTTCGACAGACCTGGAGGTTACTTATTCTTTACAATTCTAATCTCATAACAGATTATCTTTGCTTTCCTTCCGTGCATGCATGTCAACAGTGCTTACATTTTCATACTCAATTTCATCATGGTAGCCTCATCCCTTCCTATGTCATCAAGATCATCTTCCTTGTCATTCGTCACCCTGAACCTCAATGCAACACCAGCACCAGAGTAACGACGAGCCAACAGCATCATTCATAAGCAGAAAACTCTCTCTCAGCACTAGTTGCCACATTTTCAAATGTTCACCCCTCTTGACTCCTTTGTTTCGACGCCTTCTCCGAAGACTTAATCTCACTAAATACAACCAAAATACGCGAAGCCCACACAAGTTTATGCTAAGATAAGAGGTCACGATGAGAACACCTCATGTGTGCCAGCACGTCACATCCCTGGCGCTAAGGCGAGAACAGGGAGGGTCCCTTGGATGAACGTCACTGTTGATCTAACCATGTTGAAGCGTCAAGCGGCAATCGGCCAGCCGTCTGAAGCGCTGGCTGTAACTCAACGTTGGTTATGCCTTGAACTGCTCAGGCGATAAACGTTAAACGCGTTTCGAGTCATCAAATCGTCATCTCCCATCACACCATCACGCGCAATAGAATCTCAAGCGCGGTTTGGCTGGCGTTGGCCCCCTTCGTCCGTGATCACTCGCTGGTGAACTTTCTGGCCCTCGATACTCAAGGCGCCTAGGGATCGAAACATACGCCTGTCCTGTCTGTGCTAAGGGAAACAGAATCAGATCAGTCCCCACTTGAGTTCCTTTGAGGATCCTCTGCTACAGCCTACAGGATAGATTCATTGTTGACGGCAAGCCACGCGGACTGCTAGTAACTCCTAGCGCGTCATCGGGATCTTCGTTTCCGCTGAGTATTGACCTAAGCTATATCTGGTTACTATAGCAAGCCAAAGACCCTGGACATGCGATGAGAGCGAAGTCCGACATGAAGATTCAGCTGCATTCTCTCTCAAATTACCTTGCTTCTAATCTGGCAACACTGCTGCAAAGCTCCGTCTCCACCATACAGTCCCTACGGCATGACTCTACTGTTCAAGTAAGAACCCAGAAACGGCGATTTACACAGCTTCCTATTGCAACTCAACGACATTGTGTTGTTCTACTGCCACAGCGCAGTTCAACCACTGTTAAGTTTTTACTCGGCTCTTTTTCAGAGTGCAATATAATCTGCTGGAGAGTCATGCTGAACAATCGCTGGTCCTTCCAACAATGGAAACGTGGAAGTACCCTCACCACGTTTCTTTAAGTCCCTGTAGTCTTGTCAAGGAGCCAGATCAACCATATCGTTAATTAGCAGGTCGGAATATCGAATCAGAACAGCTGAAAAATTGGGGTTTGCTACCTTGACAAGCCTTCCCATTCTGAAATGGAGAGCTTCGTCCTCCCAATCTTGACATACTTCTCAAGACCCGCTTGCTTCTACTGTCACAGCTCCGAGTGGTTTGACCTCTGCCATTTTTGGGAAGAATCTCTCCTGGGTTTATATTCTCTCAAGATAAACCTTTACAATAATTTCACTGCCATTTTCCATTCTATTTCAACTGTGGTGGTCAAGCAAAGGCAGGCCGTCAGCCAGTTATTGGTCTCGTCTGAGGCTTGACATTGCCGAACTGTCAAACGGCGTGATCTGCATCGGGGGGGCTAGAAACCTGGATCCCTGGCGGCTAGGTTAAGGGTGTCCGCTAACGGGGCCACTAGCTTAGGCTCAAGGGGGCCCCGTCAAGCTTGTCTCGACACCCTCCCGGCTTCCGAGGGCACCCTGAACCCTTGCCAACCTGAACCCCCCAGTTACATGCAAGTTGCAGCGAGAATCAAATTTACTTGAAGCGCAATTTTCCAAACTGTCGGGTCTACACAAGACCAAGTTTGTCAATACGAGCTATGTGTTGTCTCACTCACGCTCCGCCCCCTTTCTCAGTCTTTCCAGGTCTTTCGCATTCCCCCCTTGCTTTCGTGGCAGCGAAACACGCCATATTGTCAATTTCAAAATCGCCAATCTTAAGAGTACCCAACCAGATATTGTCTCAAAAGTCTGACCCCAGATTCTGTGTGAAGCCACTCAAGTCACTTGACTTCCCGCTCGCCCACACAATTACCTCTCAAACTTGGCAATATCTTCAGCAGCATAGAAGACATAAATACATTCTACAAAAGTATTAGGGAGACGTGGCACGACGTGGAATTCTTTCTTGTGCAAAGATGCCGGGATCTTCACGAAGCTCTATCTTGAACAATTCCTTGGGGTATATGGAGGGACTCTTATATGGAAAATACAAAAAAATGAGGGGCTCTTCGTTGGGAAGATGAAGTTGTCTATAATGCCATTCCCGAAAACAAGTCAGAGGGGTTTTCCTTTCACGACCCTCTGCGTCCTCCATACATCGTCTGTGTTGGGCTCAATCTCATCAAGGGTTGCATGCGATCGTTTTGTGGTGGCATAGCTCCAGGTTCCATCTTCATTTGTTGGTCCCACATATGCGCGCTCATCATGTGGCCTCCAGGGCCATCTTCTTCCATCTTGATATTGGGAAGGCCATGCACCTGGTTAATAACCTCATCTTCATGAGTGTTGTGGGATCCAACGCTCATCATCTCGTCGTGTTCATCACCGCGTCCAGTGCGCTTCCTTGGTTGAACCGATCTGCGTCGTCTTCTGATGTTTAGATCCCCATAGGACTCCATGTAAATTCCCTCCTCAAGCTTTAGATCGTTGACGACTTTGACTTCTATGTCGCTGGCGTTCAATCGCATATTTCGGGAACCCCCTAATTCGTGGAAGGTGTCAAGAATCATCTGGTAGCGATTTTTCTCGACGATCTTGAAAGCCTCCCGAAGCAAGTCCTCCTAAGAACAGTTAGTGAAGCTCTCCAGGGTCTGAAACCAGAATGACTTACATCTCTGGTCAACCAGTCAATGTACTTGGATCGTCCTCGTTTGAATTTCATCTGAAGCATTTCCTTACCGGGGCACTTCTGAAAACGACTCTTATAGTCGCTCTGGATGCTCTCCCACATATCCTGACCCTTTTGGTTGCGGTGCTCCCAGCGAGATTCGAATATGCAGCGCTCCTCATCGGGACAGGTACTCTTGAGTGTTGGTGGGACCTCTTCTCCAAAGCAATTCTTGTGCTCGTCTACAGGCTCTTCAGCAGCTGCACTTCTAGAGGCTCCTGGCCTCTTGGTTGTGCGCTTTTTGACGCGGCCAGGGGCGTGTAGGGCAGATTTTCGACGAGGGGATCCAGTCATGGAGCGTGGAACATCAGAAGGTAATCCGTGCAGTCCTGTATCTTCTGGGCTTCTTCGACGGTACTGAGGTGGATGATGCTCGGCCAGCAGAGGAGCAGGCGCCATTTCGCGATGATGCATGCCCATTGGAATATGATGGTTGTCCCTCATCATCATGTGGTCTTGGTGCTCAACAGGAGGCGCCATATTGACGTAATAAGGGTTACTCATAGGTTGTGGTTCCGGTCCATTTGAGACACCAAAGGCTCCCATATAGGGCTCTGGGGGTCCGGGGGTTCGACGTCCATCGTGGACATAATTGGCATGAAGGAATTCCCCTCCAGCCACCGGGGCTTGAGAGGTCATGGGCGAACTCGCTTGTGGGGATTGGCTATTAACGTCAAATTGTCCTGCCCACTGCTGCTGCTGGTGATACATTCTGGAACTCCCAGGAGGGCTAGGGTGTTGATTAGGTGTGCTTGGAGGTGGAGGATATTGCGATGCAATTTTTGACACGCCGTGCAAAGGAGGAGATCCCACGACTGAGATGGGAGTTAAGAGATTTGGATCGCACTGGCCAGAAATGCTGTTGAAAGGTGAAGAAACCTACAAGAACAAGCGTCAGTTTTACAAAAGGACCATTGGGGCCAGAGCTTCGGATCTATAACAGCGCTTTAAAAGACTCTGCCAAGTTCACCTCCACTCCGGACGAAGCTCGACTTACAGATGAGTAGGATGTCAGATCGTGGTAAGGGGAAGTCTCAGTTGTTGGAATTGAGTCGTGTAAACTGGGAGCTCCCGAAAAACCATCCGGCTGGGTTAGACCTGGGGCAATATACTGCTGCTCGACCATGATCATGTGGGTATCAAGTTGGGGGATTGGACAATCGCAGTCCAAATCGGTTGGTTTATGGTATAGGCGGGGCTGAATAACAGAAATGGTTGCGTCTGTGAGTGGTGGGGAGCTGTTGATGCTGTGGCTGCAAGTTCAAGATTCAGACCGAGACTGATAATGGCACATTTATGACCAGAGACCAAGAAACTTCAAGAAGGCATCAAGACCTGGCGAGGCAGATATGGAAGAACAAGGTGCAAGACGATTCAGCCTTTTCTGGCCGCGGCCGCTTTTTGAAGACCTGGGGGTCAAAGATCGAGGCCAAGAGAGTGCAGGGGCAGGAAGGATGAGTTGAAGGGAAACAGAGCCTTGTGGGGTCATAGACGGGCCGGCCGCTTTGTATAAATGGTGTTTGGAGATGAAGAGCAGTGGAGTGCAGATCGTTGGAGTGTATGTAGGTTTGATGTACATGGAGGTCAGCCTGAGGGACAGCAGCAACGAAGTACCAGGACCTTTGGAAGAGCCGTTCTTTTGGCAAGCCCGGGAAGATATGAACGAGCCAGAGACAGGCCTCGGTGCCAGGGGCAAATGGGGAAAGGACTGGGGGTGTCGAACAGAGGGATCAAACCCCAAGTACAGTATGGGTACGGCCTGGCATTGCCTTGAACCTAGGAAGTGGAGGGCTCAAGCTGTGAGGGCTCGGGGCTCAATATCCTCCGCCATGCCAAGGTACTGGAGCTGTCGTGCATAACAATAGCCGCCGAGGGGTCTAAAGCAGCGAACGAAACGGGTTGGAAATAGAGGAAGACTAATGGCAGAACAGAGGACGTGCATGGTATGCCCGTGGAGATGACACTGGTATGGCCTAAAGGATGGAGGGGAATCATCGCGACCATCGCTGCTTCAAGGGTGTGTGTAGAGTGGGAGTGGCGTTTGATTTGGCTTTTACTTTGGCGTGAATATGGGTGTGGGCATGTAAAACGAGTGAATATGGGGCGGGGGGTGTTTGTTTGGGGTGTTCTACCATCCCCTCCATCCATCACATCCAGCTTCAGTGCGTACATTATGGGTGTGAGACGATGGGATGGGATGGGAAAATGGATTGAAAACAACACCGAAAAGAGTCGGATGTTTCTTCGGACGCTCTCTCGATTTCACCAGACCGTCACTCTTTCGTCAGTCAGGGATGCTTGGAACTTTTTCCACCAGGCAAATCCCCCCTTCACACGACCACCGTCTCGCATACGGTCTGGATCAGTCTTCTATCCGACAGTCTGGATAGAGTATGTAATGCAATCTCTGGCTATCAGTCTAGGAAGTGGTGAGGAGATTACGACTCAACTCGACTTGACTCAATTCTCATCCCACACGGAGCCGACCTGTAAGGTCGGCATTGGATCAACAATGACAGAGGAGAATACAGCACGACATTGAAGAGCAAGACAGGAGGCCATTCAGAACCGCAACTATGATATATTGTGTCAGGCCAAAGACATCATGAGCTATGGCTGCACCGTCAATCGTGTACATACTGAAACGGAGGGTTGACACGAGTAGCCAAAAGAGAGACGGATGCCCCGAGAGGGAAAGGCGAGACAAGCTGAAGAGCAATTATTAGGTCTTTGCCAAACTAAAAGGCCAGGCTGAGCTAACGGGGACGAGAAATCAGTAATGCCCGAAGAGAACGAAAAGAACGGGGACCTGGGGCCTAAACCTGGACCTTGACAATAGACGATAACATGGGCCATAGACCACTGACCAGGTACGCAAAAGAGAAAATAAGTGAGCGATAGGAAACGCAGCAAGGTGGGGACAAGAGTGGCCAAGGACCCTTTGTGTCTGGTCTGTCTGTAAAGAGGGAAGAGACAATCAGAAAGGTGGGAAGCTGGGAAGCTGGACCGGGTTGCGCTACCTGAAGGCAGTCCATGGGCCGTGCTTCTGATGAGTTTCTCATCACCTTCTTCGTAGACATGAGTCAGTGAGTTAACAAGTGACAAATCCATCTTGGGTTTGGTCTGACCAAGTTATCAGAGCTGGGACGACAACAATGTATGACGGACAGCAACAAGGGCTGTCAGCAGGAACAGATACAGGTACAGGAACGCGGGAACTCATAATCCTGTGCGGGCCGTTTGGCGTCCATCGATCTGAGGATCGGCAGCTCTGAGAGAAGTGGTGCGCCAGTGACGTCTCATACGGTACTGGGATGTTAGTGGAGGAGGAGGGCGGAATACAGAAAGTCAAGACATGAGAGAATAAGAAAAGACGCGATGATCTAAAGTGGGAGCAGGGGTCTGCCGGGGGAGCGCATTTGGGGCTGGGTGAGGCCTGGCCGGGCCAAGCCAGGCCAACACAGCACAGCCAAATAGCTCAGCCGACATAGAAGAAAAAGGGTACAGAACGAATTTCACCCTATTACTTCTTTGCTTCTTAGCCTCGAAGCTATTTTATTTTCCTTGTCAATAAGCAGCGAAAACAAGAGCGAAAGCGGAACGGCGTCGGAGACGGAAACGGAGATGGGCGACGAAAAGGCCCAAAAAAGACGACATGACAGAAGACAGAATGCCCATGCCTGCAACAGCTTAGGCAGATCCCAGCGACTCCACCACTTTGCTTGGCACTCGCCGGCAGATTGCCTGCCTTGTCATTGTCATTGTCATGTGTGGGTGGTAGAGAAGTATTGAGCGGAGCATTGCATTGCATTACACTATGTACATTGTATGGCTTGCGCACATGCTGAAGATTCTGTCAGTCAACTAACCATCCATGAAACAGTTCCAGGTCTGTAATATCAGTCGGTTGGATCCTAAGGTGTCCTTTGGCGCAACGACAAGAAGGAAATCTACAACCAACGACAAGCTTGATATTATACGCGCGCTACCTGGGACCATGATAGGACCGCGTGTAGCGAGAGGCCGTTGAGATGTGAACCTCGCCGCAAAATGGACGGTAGTGTTAGCCTTAAAAGGTCGCCTCGTGCCCCCCCCTGGGGGTCATAAATTAACGACGTTCTACCGCGATACCTTGATCAGAGGCTTTGACTACACGTATGTACATACTGTACAGGACGGTACGGTACAGTACCTAACCGTTTACCTTATGGTTCCCCACAGGTGGCTTGTCCTGTCGTGCCTTGTCGACTCTTCCCCTAGTCCGCAGATGCCAGCCGGCCTGAGCAAAAGCCGAGCAATGACGCCGCTGCACAGCATCAGCAAGCAACGTTCAGACAAGTTAATTATGTACTGACAGAAAATAGAGGGCTCGCTTCAACTAAGATGAGCTTTTTTAATTAATTATCCTTCAGCTACTGCAGGGCTCGTCTTGGACCGAGAAAAAGCAACGGGGATTATGATACTGTGAAGCCGACAATACCCCGGTTACCTGACTCAATCAGTCTCAGCTCCAACTCGATTCAGTTTCGAGGCTGGCTGGGCATGGTCATACATACACTACAGTACCACAACTGACGCAGTGTCTACACATCACGATTCATACTGTGCGTATCTAGAATGGCAGAGAGCAATGACCATGAAGACACGACTAATTGTCTAATAGCAAGTTTAAGCCCACTTGCACTGCTCAATATGCAACCCATAACATAACATGGCATGCGCCTCGCGGCGCTTGAGAGATGGCAGGGGTATCGGAGTTAGAGGGTGGCCCGCCCTGGTGCAGAAATACGGCCCCGCTGCCGGCCATTCAGCAATCCGTGCCGCAAGCTAGTGATGACGCTAAAAAGCTTAGCTTACCAGACTGTCGGAACCACGCTAAGCAGGCATCAATCCCTGTTAGGTTACTCGTCTTCCCAAAGAAGCATGGACCGAGCAGGGAAGGTCCTTGTTTTACAGTGGGGACAATGCGCTGCCATTGGTGGCCCATATGATCAGCCCTTGCTCATGCCTGATGATTGCAATTGGGGCCAATGGGTGAAGACTCCGGGCTCGCACGCTTTGCCGAATACGGTATAGCGAGTACGCGCGCGTTTACCATGCGGTTGGCTGTCATTGGACAGCGGCTTGACTGCAAGCGAAGGTCCTGCCAACTCAACGCTGCTGCCCTGGGCCTGACTTTCCGTGTCTGGTCCCTGCACGCCCCCCCCCTTGCTCCTTACACATTGATTGCTCCTCTGATTTCCTACCTCACATCATCCATCAGAATCAATCAAACCCTCTTCATTCCACCAGCTTCGTTCGGCCTTCTTGTCCGACAATCCATCACCGATTTACTCACCGATTTTTCGTTGGCCTCTCTCTTTCCTATTCTGCGTTGCAATGGGAGCAACCTTCCCTACATCCCAATCAAAAGGCTCCATTGCCTCTCTCTCTCTCTTTTCCCATAAAGTTAGACTACGTTTTGACAAATTCATTATGAGATGCTGAGAGACATAGCCTGAGATTGAACTAACCTTATACTACTCCAGCATATACAATTGGAGTCTTGCCGATTCCTATCGGTTGAATGTGCCATATGTTACCTCCAGCATTTATATGGATGGCTTACTTGCTATCAGTCTATCACAAGCCAAGTGCCGGCCTGGACGGCTTAGGCCCCTGGGCATCGTCTCCCTCGCTTGTGTGCTATAGGTAGCTCATCTGTTATTAAGGCTTAGCAATTAACTTAGCTGCCAACGTCGCCCCCATCGCACGCCGCTGCCGCCAGATCTGGGGTTTTGGTTTGAGGGTTCCTGCAGATCCATTCTCGGATCTAGGTAACGTCGCGGATGTCAAAGATAACACAGCCTTGTCACGCCATGTGTCCATATGGCATGGTCACTGAGGTATTCTGCCTAAAATAATTTCTACACTGCATCGCGGGCTTCAAGGCAGTGAAAACCGCTCCGCCCTGCTCCACCGTTTCATCAAGCTTGGCCTTGTGGGTTTCAGCATTGGCTTTGCCTCTTACCCGTGATTACAGGTCCTTGGAATGCGGTTGAATTTCAGCGAGCAGGCATGTCTTGCCAAAGACCTCTTGCTCTTGGTTCTCAAGAATCAAGAGCCCCCTTGTCTGGTTATGTCCGTCCTAGCGTGGTGTCACTGGTACTCTTGATTTTGTTTCCGGTTTCAAACTTCTCCATCTCATTTACCCAACTGCCGGGACTCTTAACGCGTACATACTTTGGCCTGAATGGGAAAGTTTTGCGGGAGATTGCTCGATTCACCGGCTTTTTCGATGCGTATCTGACTCGTTAATGTCCACTCTAAGCGCCCTTGTCGCGTCAGGTTAGATGATCGCCCCCTACCACTTACAACACACCAAGCATATCGAAACTACCGAGGCATGTTTGTTAAGGTGTTTCTAACGAGCATGGGAGTGTTTGCCGCGAGTATTCCGCCTTGTTCGCAGGCTTAGCCGCGTTTTTGACGTCTCATATTTCAACTCAAAAGTTCGTATATGTCGGTCCATAGGGTCGCATTTCTGTCCGACCCGCTCCCCCTTCTCCCAGTCATATTTCGAATCACACGCATGCTCATGCAGAGTGGGCGGTACCAGACTTTCGGGACCAGATAACGTGTTTGTTGCTCGTACGTTGCGAGCAGAAGAGGCAGGTGATGACACGGTTCATCAGCGTTGAGACAACCATCCATTACAGGTGTGGTGCCGTACATATCCGTCCGTCTGCAATGAATGGCGGCCCCCCCGCTGTGACATGGCTCTCGCTGGGGTGCACCTTGCCAATGCCAGGCTTGACATTCATTGCTCAAGCCGTGAGCCTGGCAGAAAGACGTTTTCGATTTGTTGCTAGGCTGAATTTTAGCGTTGCCTTCCGTAGCCAGCACAGGCACAAGGCGACGCCCCCAAACCCCTCCCTCCTCTTTTCTTGGCTTGGCAACCCATCTCATCTTATCACCTATCGGGCGATCATCGTTAATGAGGAACAAAACACACACCCTCGTCAGAAGTCAGAAGCCAATCTCGTGGGGTTCCGCACCCATCTTTTGCCCTGATTGCGCATGTCTACGGCCCGACGCCTCGACTTGTTTACATCACGGTCAATTGCAGAGCATGTCATTCAGCGTCAATACACTCACCCACGGCGCAGACCTGCGGCATGCGCTGCGTAGTAACGAGAACAAGGGGATGTCCGATTCCCCTCCATGCTGCGATGGCACTTATGTTGTTCTGCTCGGCCAGGGTACGTGCGCTCTCATACATCATCTTGTAACCGCAATGCTTGGATACGCCCGCAACAAGCAGACCCGACATCCTTTTTGGGGTGTCAATCGGATTCTTTGCACCTCTGCCAAGTGAGCAGCTGATTGTGGCTACCTATTGTTCTTTACATGGACCAAGTCCTAGATCACAACTGTCATGTCTCCAGCTTGCTCTATTTGGCTTAGCAGCATTGTTGTTCTGTGCTCCCAGAAGACCAAATCTCCTAGGGCTAGTCGTCGGCTTTGCCGTTACGTGAATAGCTAGAACTTATTTGCCTGAACTTTGTGTTATAAAGGCGCCAAAACGTGCGCAGCTATCGGCCGCCTCTGCACTAGGACAAACACTCGCCCCAAAGTTCTATCATGGCTTCTAGCCTGTATTGAATGTTTCTCTTCATATCAAAAAAACTGAGTTAGAAACTTTTGTGGGATTTTCTCATATCACAGCCCACTGCCATATCAGCCCCCTCCTTGATGCTTACCGCGAAAGCCGAACACATGGCCTACTCGGAGGAAAGTAAGACAGTCTCGAATCAGCTACCTTGCCCAACTTGAAGGGAACTCTTACCAGTTACTTCATTTATATGCTTCACCGACAGCTGCTTGCTCGCTGTAGCACTGGCTCCATGTTGGCCTGGAACGTTGGTCTACTAGCATGCGTCTCTCTACCAGTCACTGGCGATGGGGACCCAGAATTCCTGGCCGTTTGATCATTTCAAACATCTTTCCTCTTGTGTCTCTATGCATATAGCATGGAGTTACAGTGACGGTATCGTTTTCCAGGGCCTGAAATTCAAGAAACACCAAAGTACTCGGCAAAGAGCCTTGAAAATTGCAATGCAATTCTTAACACCAAATGGCCTCAGCAACGTGATCTTTTCTCTCTCTATCAATTCTAGGCCTCTATAGATATAGGGCCTTGCGGACCTGAGTCTATCCACATATTTGACAAATCTCCAGTTTCTTCTGACCAGGGGTTGATTCATGCCCTCGTTGGGAGCAGGATATTTCTCTTTAATTTCAGGCTCTAAAAAGAGAGAATCACGGTACTGACTTAAGCCAACTTAAGGGTTCATGGGGCCTGTGCTCTGAATGTAGGATCATGGTTGGTATTTTCTCCATCTTGAGATGGTGTTCTTGAAGGGAAATTGGAGGACGAGACGACACTTTTCGGAATTGGAGGCACACAGGCAGAAAATACAGCAGTTGCTTGCAACTATGGTCAAGAGAATAGAACTTTCAGGGCGGGTTGGCGCGTGACTCCCGGCACTTGAAAGCGCCGTCTAACGGCTTGCCGAGTCTTGCATTCTTTAGTAAAGCAAGCTGCGTGGAACTGGGCTGGGCTGGGCTCGGATTGCTCTACTACAGGCAGGAAGGCTTATCCTAGCGTAGATCGATGGCCAGTTTCATGAGCGGACACAGGATGCAAGCACTGGATGGGGCTGGGAGGGGGCGTGTTGTTGGTTGTTGGTTGTGCCTCTGTTGGTTGTGTTTTCTCAGAGTCAGTCAGAAAAGAGAATGACCGCCAGGGACCAAACTCGACGTGGTTCTCTGCCAGGGTCCGCTACAGCCTTGAAGAGTAAGTGGCTCGTCTTCCGTTCTGATACTAATGGTGGTTTCGTTCTCCAGATGCCCTTGTTTCTCGTCTATGAATGCTCACTGTGTCGACTTAGATCATCGGCCGCTACCCTCAGCATCCCTGCAATGGAATATCAACAGAGAAATCAGGATTGGAAAAGAATATCCGGAGCCGGCACTGCTCAGTTTCTAGAATGTTTGGCCCAAGCATTACCCGCATTGCTTGCTTTACATAGCCTACTGAGGATGCCTCGTCGAAGTGAATTCGACACAAACAATAATGGGCCATCATCGTTGAGAGTAAGTTTTCAGCCAACTCTTGTCGTCTGGGAGGCGCTTAATCCAGGTATTTGGTTTGTCTTCTGCCGCGCACCAAGGCCCCCAGCCGTTTCCGTTTCATGCGGTCATGGGTCTGCAGAATAGGCCAAACAGGGCATTGCCGGCCTGAAAATGCGGCCATATACTTCACTTGACAACATAGGTCATGTCATCTCTGCTGCGAGGCGTTATTCCAACTCTATAGTTGATGAATGGATTGCCTGATTGCCGAGACTTCCTGAGCTTTGCGGAAATAGTCGATATACTGTACTGCCCTGACGAGGCGTTTTCGGGACAAGGCAATGTTCCGAATCACGAAGGCGGGCAGGGAATGCATTCATCTTGGCTCTCTGAGGCATGGCCGTTACCGACTCCAAGGGCTTGTCACTCGTGGAATTCATACTCAAGCCAGCGTCTATTCAATCGATATTAGCTACTATTGACTTGATGTCATTGACGCCCAAAACTGTCTCTTTTGCATTCTTGAAACCCAATGGTACCTTTTACCCGTCAAGAACACCACTGGAAACGCCACGGCAACTTCATTTCTGAGGGATGAGGAATTCGGAAATAAAGTGAAGGCAAACGGCTGTGGCGTAGATTATTATATTGTTCCTTGCTCTCTACCGCACGTCGAATCAGGGCCATCGTCACGCAACCGACAATAGACTTGTCGACGCCGGGAAACGCCAAATTTGACCACAAATTCTTGGCGAGGGCTTCGGGGATTCTACAATGGCATTCACTGCCCTCAACCGTATCGCCACACTAGCTCGATGGATGGGGCAGATGCGACTGACGGCTGCGAATCAACCTCCAAGAGCCGGGGTCCTTGGTTGATGAGCTGCATGCATCTTCGGCGATTGCCTCTCCAGGCTGACATCGGTGAGTCGAGTCATATATCGGTTTAAAGTTGATTAGATTGATTTACAGGTACTGTTTGTTTGAAACATCGCAGCAGGCAGAGGCAGAAGTGCAGCTCCAGTTCCCATCCTCGTGCTTCGGCTACAGTTATGGTGCCCCATAGGGTTCTGAGAGGGCACATAGTGGTACGTGCCATTGAGACGAGAACGACAGAATGCTCCGATCCCTGTCCTCGCTGGCCCTGGACCTGGTTATTGCTGTCTGTCGCTTGTCAACGTCAATGTCACCGTAACTTCAATTAGACTCGGCTCACGGATCAAGTCCCCGCGTCTCCATTTCCCTGCAACCTCGCCTTCGCCATGGTATCCATATACGTTATGAATGTGAAATGGCATGGGTCAGAGACGACTTCTAACTCGCTTAGCCAAATGCCTCGGCCTATACTTAATGGGGGCATGTATTTCTGCCTGGGAATCTCCATGGGCTATCAGGTCTCTGTTCGAAATTTGCCCAAGTTGCAAAAGTGCCTCCGAGCTTTGTCTCGATACACGAGAATGGAAACTGTACAAACTAGTAGACATCATGAGAACCAGTAAATTATTGGCTTTGCTGATCCTAATATTCATCAAAGAAAGTACTTGCTCTTACCATGGGTCAAAACGAGCCAACTTTAAAGCACGATACGGTGTGTCTTGTGGCGAGGTCATGTTCTAGTGATCTTTTGTAGAATCAATACTTTTTCACATTATATGGCTTGAGCAATAATATCTGTATCCCCTGGAAGGACATAGACAACAAGAATGATGATTATTGCTTGTCTTTATTGAACTCTGAACATCTCGTCATACTGCATAATTACACGTAGACTGTCTTTTACCACTTCCAACTTCCATTTTATTTCTCAACAAGCTCATCCCGGCATGGAAACACAGTAGTTGAGCAGATCCTCCCTGGCTCAACAGTCTCAAGATTAATCACGATGCAAACAGTGCGAAACCCAAGATCAGAAAAGAAAATGAACCCGTGCGAAGACCTAGTGTCAGCAAAAGAGCAGGCTCGCTTCAGTGGGAGAAGGAAGAAAAGTTCTTGCCGCTGGCTTATGATGCTCCGTTACAGTGCCGAACCTCACGCCAGTTTTAAAAGGAAAAATTGCTCTCAAGACTATGCATGTCTAATGCACCTCTCACTCATAGTACCAATGTTGTTGATCACGTTCCTAGGCGCCTTCCAAGGGAGGCACGTATGAGTAGTTAAAGTCAAGTAGACCGTCCAACATCCAGTGCTGGGGGTCGAAGAAGTCGTAGTTGGCCGCATCTCCGTAACTGACACCAGCCATCATACTATGAGCTGACGATACAGCTGAGAGTCCCGTGGCCCCCGGTGTCAGGGCGCCGTTCGAGTTGGGGTTGCTGTTGTGAGTGTTGTTGGTACTGAGCAGACTCGAAGGCGGGAGGGTGTGAGACGGTACGAGAGTGCTGTCCATATGTGTTGATGATGCTGAAGACTCATTAGCCGAATCTGGATTTGTCGGTTGTTTGGCAGCTGTTGTCTGTATTAGCATTCTTGCAATATTTGCACAAGACAAATCAAGACATGCTCTACTCAGGGACCTTCACCAAAACATAGGGAGAGAGGGGATCACCTACAGTCTATAGTACCTCGCCCCGATGCCTGGAAGTCCTCCCTCCACCTCCAGACTGAATCGAATACAAGGCTCATGCTGTGACGACATCGAACCTTGAGCTGGAGGCTGTCGTCCATCTGGATCGGCGAGTTGTCGTTATTGTTGAAGTTATGTTGATTGTGTTCGAGTCGAGCGCCGTTCCACATCTGCACCATGAGTTCAGCTAAACGCCACTGAAGATCATTGTGAACAACACTGGTAGCCCGGATAGCCCGGATCGTCTGATGAAAGAGGGTTCGACCTCGCTGGAAGTCTATAGTCTTCGAAAAGAACGACCTCATGAGCTTGAGAAGGGCAAAGCCGGCTGCAACCATCATCTGTCCGATGTAGTTACTGCAGTGAAGAAGTAAGTGTCCGCCGACGCCGTCCCGGGGACTAGTGGCTTGATCAACTTCGAGAATTTCGTCGAGAAAAGCGACAGTGGCGCGCCATAGGCCCATCAGATCATCCATATAGCCTGGGGTCTTACTGGAATCGAAGAAACCGGCCAAGCGCATGTGAAGAGCCGCTGCCCGGAGATGCAAAGAGACAATGGGGCCCAGCCCTTGTGAAAGGATAGAAGCATTCAACTCTGCGTAATCTCGACGATAGACACGCATCAGCATTGCCCGGTGTTCATCTCCTGCAACGCCGCGGGGATCGCTAGCGTTGCTGTACATCTCCTTCGATACCTTGTCACAGAATCTCTCAATCTGTAGCCGCGCCTCTAAATCTCGTGATAGTTGGAAAGCACTCTCTTCTCCGGCTCGTGAGGCCAGAGTCCAGTCATAAAGAGTGGATGCTGGCTGGCCGTAGCCAGTTCCAACAGACTGCGCAACAATGTTACAAACCGCCCACGTTGTCACACGGTCATTGAGTTGTTCCTTGTTCAACTCAACCGACACCCTGGAAAAGTCTTGGATATTATTGGGCCGGTGCAGACCTATTCCAGTAGCTGTTTTCATCATTACTCCACACAAAATGTGCGTAGGGTCGGACGAAGTCGTACTTGTGGGTAGTGGCCATGTGCACAGCAGACACATGGCCTTGACCACGTAGTAGTTGCTCGGGACTTCTCCTATCGTTGACCACAAGAAACGTGTCAGAGGTCCCGAGAGATTGTTGAGCAGATCGTTTGTGCTTGGTGGATTGTATCGTCGGGCAGCAACAGAGATAATGGACCAGAAGAGGAGGGGATGCTGTTGGTAGAAGAGATCAGGTGCCTGTGAAGGGTTGAGGAAGGGTAGAAATTGATGGTAGAAAGCCCAGAACTGTCGGAAGAGGTTGTTGACATCTTCTTCCGTTAGCTTGACGTTTTCTAGTTCGTGTGAATATCGTGGCACGTTGTAGTTCCCGCCGCGCTTGAGATGAAGCAGGGACGAGACAGCTTCGTCAGAACCCATTAAAGAAGGATTTCGGGTGTGAGTGTGAGTATAGGTAGGGTTACTCGCAGCAATGGGAGAGTCCATATCGTCATCTGCTTCTGGAGTGAAGCCCTGAGACTTTGCGTGAGCAAGACTGCGACGCAGTCGATCGATCTCCTTCTCCATTTCGGCGTGCTTAGATCTTTTGCCTACTCTCTTGAAGTTTGATTCAATTTTGCACTCTAGTTTCAGGCGATTGCACCGAGAGCAACTTTGGAAAGGGTCTTGCACCACGTCGCATCGGAGCTATTGAAAAATTCTGTTCAGTACAATGGTATCTAGACGGTCTGTTCTCGGAGGTTGACTCACCTTTTGCTGTCGACACTCGTTGCAGGCCCTTTTGACGCCAGGCTGGCGCTTCTTCTCCTGCTCAGCATCGTGATCGTCAAGATTACTGCCTGGGCTACTTTCAATGCCAACCATGCTGCTCCTCTTGCGCTTGTTGGTGCCATTGCTGTTCCCATGGCCATGACCATGGCGGGAGCTGACAGGGCTCGTAGGACTCATCGAGGCCGCCCCACCAGCCATCATGGAACCGTCCATAGGGACGATGCCCTGAGCCGGAGGCCCGGAGGAAGAACGCGACGGGATGATGCGAGGATGCACCGGCGCCGAGACAGACACGGACACGGGGGATCAAAGGATCGGAGGCTTCGAAAAGCAAATACCCGGAGTTCGTTGACCGGCCGGTGCCGGTGTCGGTGTTGAGAGTTGATATGGATATTTCGGGTCGCGGCGCTGAGTGGGCGCGTCGTGTGTTGGCAAAGACAATGCGCGTGAGCAAAGGCCGACTACGGAGGAGAGGGGTTTGTTTGTTAGGGAGAAGATTGCTTTTCGCTGGTTTCAAGGTGCGAAAAAAGGCGACTCGAATGTGAGTGGCTAATTGGCCTGGCCAATTACCAGCTTTTCTCTCCGTCCTTCCGTGAAAAGAGTAATTCGCTTGACAATCTTGACTGGGAAGGTGCAGCAAGGTACAGAAACGGTACTCTTTCACCGTTGTTGCCTCATGCAACGACTTTTGAGCGACCTGACAAACTGGAGACGAGCGGGGCAGGCCTAGAAAATTATCCCTACGGCGGGGATTGAAGTCTCTGATTGGCGGGTCATCAACACTCACGTGATGTATGCATTATTCAGCCAAGGCCTATGATCATGATGATATGGGGCCCAACTCAAAGATATGGCAATTGGATATACTTAAATGAGGTCCTGAAAGAAGAATATGCTGCGCGAAGATTTGGAACTCAGGTAATTTCGTAAAAATGTTTGGTTGGCGATACAAGGCTTTGACGCTGAGTACTACCTATGTAATGTGATCATCTCGTATTTATGAGTTCCACCATCTCATCACATGATGCTGACAAGAGTGTAACCAAACGAAAGAAGAGACAAGAGAGAACTACTGGTGATGACCTTCTCATATTATAGATAAACTATTTTATTCCTCCCGGTAGTGGTATCTACAAGTCGAGAAGAGAAAAGTGTGACGATGTGCTGAGTAGTATATCTTAGTATTGCATTGAATCCGAACCAGCCCTTTCATCATCTAAACCTCAACTTCTTCTAGGGATGAAACCACTGCAAACTATCATCTCTAACTGTAATAGTAATTTGAAATCACATAATGGTGATAGTACCTTGGAATCCGTCCATCAAGTCGCAAATGCTATTTGTCCTTCCAATGAAGGGCATGAGCTGCTAAGCCAATCAGGCTCAACCACTATACACTGAATGCTCTGAGCGCATCCTGCTAAAAACATATCTCCCTCCCTGCCTTACTTGCGTCAGATAATCAATCATCTTTGCTTTTTGCATCAAAACCACTTATCTTTTCTTCACACATTGTACTTCATCAATAATCATAATCACCCTTCCTCAAACACTTCATCATGTCTGAAACTGACAAGCCTCGTCAGTCGGTCAAGCGTCAGCTCAAACCCGCTCCCCAACGCCCTGGCCAAGATGTGCATTGTCCACGATTCAAAGCAGAGGTCCACTTTGTGATTCCAGGATCGATGCCAGAAATCGGTGGGTTGATCAAGGGAATAGTGTTGGTTGTTGATGAGACACGGTTCTGACGCTCTGTGTGTGTAGAAACTCTTCGCATTCGAACAACGGATGTTTCTCAGCCTTTCCTGGATCCAAATTCGATGCAACAGCCATGATGCGTTTTATTACATACCTGCTGGACATGCGTTATTCAAACTTGGCTGATACATGACTGATACCCTCTTACAAATCTGAAAGCGCAGTCTACATTTCCAGGCTCGACCCTGCATTTCTGTTTCGGGCCGCCCAAGTCGTGGACCCTGGCCTGATGGACATCAAAAGCCAGCAATATTTTAAAGGCGAGGCGGGAAATATCCGTTAGTGATCGGCTCTTCCTGTTCCTTTCCGAAACCTTCCACGGTCCTTATATGTGAACATCGTTCAAATATTCCAAATTATCGGGAATGCCAATGCAATTGGAGTCACTTCCCACGCTAGACAAGCCTCGGACATGGCTACTTGATCTATCTATGCCATGCTACTTGTCAAATGGCGATCTCCAGTCCAAACCCGGTGAAAGTGCCGAACAACACCACAATTCAGGATCCCCCTCTTATTCCGCGGGTCGCCCACACTCAATATGCGGGGCTGTGTACTAGTGTCTAGGGGATCCTACTCCTCCTTCTGTGCGTCTCTTACCTCTTTCTTCCAAGTGGAGGAGCCGATCCGCATCACTAAGCTATCCCACATGCACTGGTATATGCTAAGGATGCATAGTAGACTACAATGTACCAGTAGCAAGTTACGTTCTTTTCATGGGCTTTCTCTCGTCGAAACCGCCTATATAAACAGTCATCCTGCCCGACTGTCGCCCCATCCAGCCTGACTACAATATCACCTACTCTCTAATCTGAAACTTGATACCCTCCCTGTCTTCATCATGGCGACCAAGCTTCATACTGTGCCTTTCCTCATCAACGGCAGCGATCACACCAGTGAAAGGGCTGTTGATGTCGTGTCTCCCGCCAGCGGCGAGGTCGTCCACCGCTACCACAGTGCTGACGTCAAGGATGCCAATGCTGCTGTCGAGGCTGCTGCTGAGGCTTTCAAGTCATGGCGCAAGACAAGGCCTAGTGAGCGCCGGGATCTCTTTCTCAAGGCCGCCGAGATTATGGAAAAGCGACGTGATGAGCTGCGCAAGTACTCCATGTCAGAGACTGGCAGCGATGCTACCTGGGCCGATTTCGATATCAGCACAGGCATTAGCCATCTGAAGGAAGTTGCCGGTCGTATAGGAACACTGGAGGGCGCCATTCCCACTGTGTCGGATCCCAACACAACCGCCCTCGTCTTGAGAGAGCCTTATGGTGTCGTTGTAGCAATTGCGCCATGGTACGTTTCTCGTACCCGGATGAGTCTCAGGAGTGACTAACATGTCAATCCAGGAACGCCCCTTATATTCTCGGCACAAGATCTGTTGTTTTCCCCATGGCCGCTGGTAACACAGTGGTCTTCAAGGCCAGTGAGGTTTCTCCTCGAACACTCTGGGCTATTGCCGATGTTTTCAGAGAGGCAGGACTTCCTGATGGTGTCCTTAACGTCATCTTTCACGAGAGAGCCAATGCTGCAGCAGTCACCGCCGCATTGATTGAGCACCCTGAAGTCAAGAAGATCAACTTCACTGGCAGCACACCTGTTGGCCGTATCATCGGTAAACTTGCAGGCGAGAACCTCAAACCTGTTATTCTGGAGTTGGGTGGCAAGGCCCCAGCTATCGTATGGGAGGATGCGGACCTCGACCTCGCCGCGCTGCAATGTACCCTTGGAGCGTTCATGAACTCGGGGCAAGTCTGCATGTCTACCGAAAGGATCCTTGTGCACAAGAATGTCAAGGACGAGTTTGAGAGGAAGCTTTCAGCAACCATCGAACAAGTCTTCTCCTCTAAGGCGGACGCACCTGTTCTTGTGGCATCGGCTCCTGTTGAAAAGAACAAGGCCTTGATCAAGGATGCCATTTCTAAGGGTGCCTCCCTGGTTCACGGAAACCCTGATGTCGAAGAGTCAAGCAAGACCCGTATGAGACCAATTGTTGTGAGAGATGTCACCACAGAAATGGACATTTATAAGTCGGAGTCCTTTGGCCCTACAGTTTCTCTGATGGCTATTGAGACGGAGGAGGAGGCCATCAAGATCGCCAACGATACCGAGTACGGCTTGAGCTCTGCTGTTTTCACATCTGACCTCCAGAGAGGCCTCCGAATTGCTCGCGAGATCGAGACAGGTGCTGTCCATATCAACAATATGAGCATTCATGATGAGAGCGGTCTGCCTCATGGAGGAGCAAAGGCTAGTGGATATGGCCGTTTTGGTGCATCTGCTGGTCTTGACGAGTGGACTCGCACGAAGAACATTACCTTTAGGAATTAAATGACGGAATGATTATAATACCAAATAGCGCAATATGAAAGAATAGTTTATGTCAATTGTAATTGGTGTGGTAGTGAAACAGTGAGGGTTAAGTCAGTGAGTCCCATCAGTGCTAGTCGATTGAGGCTCCAACCAGCAACAAGACGATGCTGCCACAATACTTGTGTATTTCCCCTTATTCTAGAGGCATAACCCAATATCATTATAACGTTCATATGAGAACGCTGCAACTATAAGTGTTATAACGCCCTAAGTTCATGTACAAATTGGTTCATGATACCTTGGTGCAGGGTAGCTGGAACATGTATCCTTACATAATCGGCCAATCCGCGATAAGTGGAAAATTTCCCATTATCCAGTTCAAGATCCCAAAACGCCGTCATAACGCAGCCTTTAACCATCACAACGTCTTAATTAAACCAAACCGCCCAACCACCTCCTCCAACACCGCCAAAATGAGTTTCCTCGGAATGGGTCGACCTCAGCCTACATCGGAGCAAAAGATTGCTGCCGTTGAGAGCGAGATGCGCATGATGGCCGACACCTACAACCGGTAAGCCTCAACGCTCAACAAGCACACGCATTGATACTAAATTGTGATGCCACAGTCTTCAGCAGTCTTGCCAGAAGAAGTGCGTTCCTAACGACTACCGCGAGGGTGAGCTCAACAAGGGCGAGTCCGTCTGCCTCGACCGCTGCACAGCCAAGTTCCTCGACACATCCATGAAGGTCAGCGAGATCATGCAGCAGCAGGGCCAGGCTCTCGGAGGCGGCCAGCAGGGCGGTGGTGGCATGTTCTAAGCGTGATGAGCGAAACGCGAACATTTTACGACCTCAACAGACCATTTAGGGGACGGGCCGCAGATAGGCTGGGGTTATGAATTGAACCTTTGTACGATTACTCGGGAGAATGGATAGATATTGGGTCTGAATCGATATCTGGCGCTTGCATCACGAAATGATGATCGACGGTGCAACGGGAGGTGTTGCTGTATTATATATGCCTGTACATGAACGAATCCAGGTCAGGCCAGAGATGACGCTTTGGTATATGGATAACTAGATTAAGTTTATTCAGTATGACCCTAAAAAATGCCTTGTACCCAGGGGTGTGCTATGCTATGTCTGATATGATATCGATGTCCCAAAACTCCGTGCTGATGACCTTTTAGGGGAATATCATCCCCAAGAAAACGCTCTTTACCCAGCACCAACCCCTGGATCAAGACGGCGACCTTGTAATATCTGGACCTGTCCCGATCCCCGTGACAGTTCTGAACATCCAGTGAAGCCACCCTTCGGTCTCAAGCTCGGCCTTCAAAGCCTCAGCTCTCTTCTCCATATCCTCCACCTGCCTCTCAAAAGTAACAATGCCATCTTCGACATCGACCACTTTTTGTAATAGAGCATTGATTTCATAGTCGAGACGAGCTACGAGCGCCTCAACCTCCTTAAGGCCCTCCAAGAGGTGAGACCGCTCCTCGGCAAGGAGCTCATGAGAAGTTATACGTATACGCTGGCATGCTTCGTTCAGCTGGTAGTAGAGTGCATGCATTTCGTCCTTGTCTTTTGCGTAGCGTTCATCGAGAGCCTCAACTGCACTGATCTTTTCCGCGACCCATGGCTCAATACGGTGCTTCATTTCCTCCAAGCACTGATTAAAATGCTGAGCTAGGTCGTTGAAGGCTTCGATATTGGCAAGACCATCCGCTACATCTGACACGTCGATGAGGGGTTCCCACTGCAATACTGCCTCTTCAGCATCGCCAAATGACATTCGTCGTGGCCAACGATTTTCGTTGAGAACGGCCATGTGCGGGCACTGTGATAACTGAATACTGTGTCGTCGCGAGAGCCCCCTTTTGGATAGATCATCATTGAGTTCTGCATCCAGAACAGGCCCTTGGAGGTCATGCTCATCAACAAGAGATCCAACAGCGGAGGGTGCTTTAGACAACACATCCTTGCGCACTTCCACCCCAATATCAAATAACTCCCCATCTTGCTCGCGCTTTTGTGCTTCCACGGGAGCCGAGGCCGGCTGCTTAATGTCAACTGTCGAGGTGGACGCAAAGTGCGAAAGCTGGGGGAAACCTGCTACCCCTTCCGCGTCTGCTCGTTTCATCGCGGCTAGATACTCCTGCGGTTTGTTGTTCCATGTGAAGGCTCTGCCCACTCCTTGTGTAGGCGCTGGTGGTTGTGTTGTTCCTGGAGTGAGCCCCTGACTTGAACTTCTGGGGCCCGATTCTAAAAAGTCATCTCTCGTGGAAACCGAAGGTCGACTGGTGTGACCGCGTAAGCCTCCCCCAACGACATCCTTAATACGTCCAAAACCAGACCTAGCGTCGTTCATTTTCCCAGCGACACCTTTGAAGATATTCTTCCGCGAAGCCTCCTTATCACCTGATCCATCAGCGACACTAACGGCGGAACCAGGTGGGTGGCCCGAGTAAACATCAGGAGTCTCGTCCTGTCGCTTCGCATCTAGTTCGTTCTCGGCAGGCGCTGAATATACGCGTTTCGGGTTTGGATTCGCTTCTTCCTCTTTCCAAGGTACCGCGCTGCTCAATTCTGGACTGTGATGTGGTAGCTCGGCGACGCTTCTCCGAGGCTTGCCATGCCAGAGCCATTTGGCCCGTTCGCCATATGCTAAGCTAGCAAAAGTGCCAATGTCGAGTGTCTCGATATCAGCCAGTCCTCCTTTGTCTTTTCCTGACACCATTCCCATTACAAGCTCACCCCTCTTACCTCCGACTTCTGTCAGTGTTGACTTTACAGCCCTCTGTACACCCCAACTTTCGCCAGCAGCAGCCTTGGCAGATACAGTGTAGAGCTTGAGAAGAGTTTGACGGTCCAGCCTTCGCGTCTTCTCGAGCTTTTGTGATTTTTGGAAGTGACCAATACCACGCTTAGTGTTTTCGAGGTCAAATACATCCTTTGACACCGGGGCTCCGTACCAATGGAGGCGATTTCGAGCACCCATGAACATGCCCAGTAATGCCGCCACCGTACTGGGGCCTAATATGCCATCGGTAGGCTCAAAATTATAGTGTTCAGCACCAATTTCGATCCACCAGTTGTTGATAGCCATTTCTGTCTTGTCGCAAAGCAGCCCATCGATGTATTGGTGCCCCAGCTTGTCAAACATGTATAATGTGACTTGACAAAGCTTGATGAGTTCGACTACAGCTTGCGGAACAGGTACTCGATCGCTCGTCCTGTAGAGCTGCAAGAACTTGAGCTGCGTTGCTTCAGTTGGATCTGACAGAGTCATGCCTGATCGCCCAGAACATCCTAATCGTTTCAAATCCTCATTGACAATGAACGAGGTGCGATATTTTCGGATATCACCCTCAGGCACCATAATAACGGTGAGGGCCGAAGGGAAATTACTCAGATTAGTAACCATGAGCTCTCCAAGCTCAGTCTCCTTGGGCCGCGCATGTGAATCCTGGAGTTGATCAAAGTAGAAGCGTAGCCTTGGAGGCCAAAGACTCTCGTCTATTGGAACAGAGAGCACACCGACAACGACCGAGTGTTTTTCGTCTCCAGTATAAGTGACGATCAGGAGTGTTGGTGGTTTTCGAGAACACGCCCATTGTTCGACTAGGTACGACTCGTACCCGCGTAAAATGCCACGGCGCTCGACAACGACAACATTGCTGCCTTCCTCGAGATACCTGATGCTGTGTTAGCCTTGGAAGCTTCAGGAGTGTTTGTTCGCGACGCACCGAAAGGCGAAAGGATCGGCAAAGACAAGATTTTTGCGCCTCGGCGAGGGTAGAGGTTGAGAATCCGCAGCTTCATTGTATGCGGAAACCTCTAACGGAGGGATACCGTTGGGGGGACTTTCTCGCGTGGTGCTAGAGTTGGAGGTGGTCGCTGTACGGGCGACAGACCCCTTGGCGGTGGTGCCTGTCGAGAGTTCATCGTCGACTCGAAGTCGAGGATCTGGAAATCTGAAAGCCATGGTGTCGTCATTGGCCCGTGTATTTGATAGACGCAGTCTCGAGCTTCATCTTCACCCGTGGTGAGCGAGGAGTAGCAAGAGGACGTCTCTAGTAGTTTCGTTTAGGCGCGCGTGTCTTTGGAGGCCTTTTTTCGGTGTTGGACAGGTCTGAGAGGCAACTAACATTACAGGGCCTTCATGTGATGCAATAGCTCCCAGGTTAGCTCTCGGTACCTGCTTCAAGTACCTATCGCAGACGCAGCCGAAGACTTTACAAGCTAAAGGCGGGGCACTAATTCCCAGAAGCCCCACGTGAATCCCTGGGGGAAGACTGGGGTCACTCGACACTTTCGTCGTCACTTGCTATATGAGGAGGATGATTCAATATGTGATAGTTGTTGTGGTAAATCGAAGAGGAGACAACAGCTGCATATGTAGATTGAAATTAAAGTGAAGCTGTTGTCAAAGCGTAAGGTAGCCAAAATCTACTCTCGTTTAATTGGCCTTCATTAAGCGGGAGAGCGAGACCGGTCCCCTTTAGCAGCATAGCCTCGGTATCCCCCTTATCGATAGCGATAATGTACCCGCCTCCCTCTTATCTACTTACCTCAGGTACCTAAGCTCGGATCGTTCCGTCACCGTTGAATCCGCAAACGACATCAACATTCAACACAACCGGCATTTTGACGTCCACCCGTGGAATATCCTAGCTATTGGATGAGCCCATGACTCTCTTTGGCTTTGGAAGCTTCACTTCGCGTTAAACATAACTCTCGGTCTTGATCATATCTTCTACATCTGATTCAAAACCCCACATAGTCCCCAGCCATGGCGGAAGCTGATAACCATCATGTCTCGCCCTTTGCACCACTCATGGTTGAGCTGGCTCGTATGAGGAACAGAACACTCAAAACCGTGGTCGATGATGTAGATAAAGTCATTGACCTTCTTACTAATGCTCGTGAGAAGATTGCTCAAGGTGAGCTGGCTTTCCTCCGATACCATCAACAACTAACCACTGTAATAGAGCAAGACGCCACTCGAACTGGCATGGCCATGATGACGTTGCAAAATCCAGTCAAAGCCCGCTTTGAACGAATCAACGTAGACCTAAAGGATATCACCAAAGCGCAGAAGTCCTTTGGAAAGGCCCTCGACAAGGTTTGCCAACAACCTCTAGCTTTTGACGGCAACGACATCTGACTGACCGACACAGGCTCTTCCTCACCGAGAACTCCCTATGGAGACTGATGCTATGGCGGACCGCCCGCGACTCATCAACCGTGCGATAGCTATGCATCTTCTTCGCGAAGGTCAATTTTCTGTCGCCTCGACATTTCTCAAGGAAGCTACAGATCACCCTCCCGGCCGCGAAGCCCATACCATTTCACAAACAGACGAGGATGGCGATGATGATATGGAAAGCGAGGATGACTTAGAAGATGAAATGGCAGGTCTACATTCAGAGCATTTACAAAACAAGTTTGCGGAAATGTATAGCATCCTTTCGCAGCTCAAGGACCATAATCTCCTACCCGCCATCAACTGGGCCCACGCAAACGGCGTCCATCTCGAGGCCAGGGGAAGCACACTCGAATTTGAGCTTATAAAGCTTCAATATGTCTGGCTGTTCAAAGGCCCATCTGTCAACGGTCTCCCTGACGAACCTGCAACTAATGGACTCGGCGGAGCGATTAACTATGCTCGCCAGAACTTCCCTCGTTTCCAGAACCGTCATTTGCTAGAGATACAACAACTCTCCAGCGCTGTGGTATTCGCCCCTAACCTGGCAAAATCGCCTTACAGCCATATATTCGAGACAGATTCAGCGTTCGAGGACGTAGCCATGTCGTTTACTCGCGAATTCTGCTCACTGCTTGGCCTATCGGCGGAATCACCCCTCTATATCGCCGTCACAGCAGGCTCTATCGCTCTTCCACGCCTGATCAAGTATACAACTTATATGCGGGAGAAGAAGACAGAATGGACGACAGAGAACGAACTTGCCTTCGCAACACCATTGCCTGAGTTTATGATTTATCATCCCATCTTTGTCTGCCCCGTCAGTAAAGAGCAGACGACTCAAGACAATCCTCCCATGATGCTCAGTTGCGGTCATGTTCTCTGCCGCGAGTCTCTGAACAACATAGTGAAAGCAGCACGGTACAAGTGTCCTTACTGCCCAACAGAAGGTCACCTTAAGGATGCCATTCAGATCAGACTATAACATACTCTCCCTGCTAGCATTATTACATGCATGGTCATGTTACGTATCACAGCGCACTGCCACAGTGGGCAAGGTGGATTGGCGTTTATTTGTCTTGAACGAGTCCAGCAAGGACTCTGCTTCGGCTTTGGTTCAAAATCAAGAATGGAAAGCGGGCGTTTTGGCATTTTGTTTTAGAATTGTACCTGTTGGGATATTTCCCTTGCCTCCTAGACCGACACGTCGATCTTTTCTCCAGCATAAGCCATGAAACATGCAACGTCCTAGCTACACTCTTGTCTCGCATCAGGCTTCACAGAGTTGAAACCAGTGAGTGTATTGAGTCAGAGTCCTGATGGTTTCATGACGTGATTCACATATGGACAGTCTCATAGACCACACAAGCACGGGCCCTTTTGTATATGCCTGATTTCACTATTCAATTCCTATCGGATTATCTGATCATGAGAACCCGCAATCCAATTGATCAGGGGACAAAGTAAAAGTAACAAAAGAACTATGTATCAGCTCCTGGATCTCATTCCATGTGGTGGAGCATTGAACGCCTAATATGGTTGGGTCTAACATAGGAAACAAAAAACAACCAAAGTAAATAGAATAAAAAAGTCCAAGCAAGTTTCCGACACCATGGGATATCACTTCGTCGCCTTCTGTTCACGCCGCACCCGTTTGGTCACCGTCCATCCTGAGCCTGCCCTTTGTGACTGGTGCCATAGACAAGGGAAAAATTTTGTATCCTTTCGTAAATTCGTGTCTTTGTACAATGATGCCTCCAAAATATTGTTTTTGAAGAATCATGACTTGCGAGGGGCCGCTTAATCAATGGTCATTCGGCTGGGAATTTGAGGCTTGACATCCTGCATGTTGATTGAGTTGATATCAGGCTTCTCCTCGACCTTGCGCTTTCGAGACAAGGACTGCAGATGGGGCTTCAGGCCCTTGCCAAAGTTTCGCATGCACACGATGGCGTTGGTAATGGTGAGAAGGATGAGAAGAATGGTGATGACAGCAAATGCGGTCAATGATCGACGAACGGCTTCGTAACTATCTCGGTGTCCAGGCTGATAGATTCGTACAAGCTTGAAGATAAAATAGCTTAGACCTCCGAGATAGAGGATGATGATGCAGACCATGCCGATCTTGTTCTCTCGTCGGGTGAAGAAAGCGGCAGCGAGAAGGATGAGGATGGTAATGGGGATGGTGACGATGGTTAGGGCGAACTCAGGGTCATCCTTGTCAGCAACAACGACAACGAATTGAACGATGAAGCCTAGGAAGAAGAAGAAATCGAACTTGAGCAGAGCGATGTAGATCTGATCCGAGTTAGCCATTGACCAAGGAGTCTGGGTGAAAGAGTGCAGCATACCTGGTAGTGAAGGAATCGCTTCTTCATGCGATAATCGGCACCAATGTTCTTGAGAATATCCCACGCATACTCCTGGTAAATCTTCCACGAAAGGAAGCCCATAACGAGGGTAGCAAGGGCGATGATGGCAGGAATAGCCACCAGATAAGGCTTCACATCGTGCCAAAGCTCGGCAGCAGTCATGCCACGCTTGAGAGCATTGTTCTGCTCGAGAATATCAAAGGCCTCGGAAATTTGATCAACTTGGATAGTCGTGTAAACCATAAGTGCCAGGTTAGAGAAGCAGACACCAATGACTTGAATGGTGTTCTTTTGTCGGAGAGCATCCCAGACGACGACCAGGGTGTAAAGGAAACCAAAGATGAAAAGCGTCAAAAAAGTCGGGATAGTCTTGTACTGAGATTGGACCTTGGGAGCGCTGATATGGGTGCCAAGGTTGACCTGGAACTTGCCGAACACATAGCTAGATCAGGGGTCAGCAAGAGGCACAGATGCCGAAAGATACGGAGATGACGTACGCCTCAAAGCAAATGCACAGAATGGCCTGGAGAAGAGAGACGGCCATGAAAGAGGCAGGCCATCTGCTCTTCATGAAATCGATCTTGCCATTCTTCATACTCTGCGCAGGAAGCGAAGGGGTGAGGCCTTCTCTATAGGCGAAGCCCTGGTTGTATGCGGGTTCAACTCCAGCGTCGGCAAAGTTGGGCTGGGCGAAGGCGGCAGGCTGAGGAATAGGCTGTGGAGACGGGACTGGAGAAGGAGCGTAACTGTTGTCTCCGTAGGAGTTGTTGTATGAATGGCCTCCGTATCCGAAGCCGGTGTCAGCTCCAAGGAGCGATTTGCGAGATTCTAGCCGGGTAGCCACGGTGGACATGGAATGACTCCGACCGGGAGTCACGGGGAAATAGTCGAAGTGATAAAAATACTCGTCGATATCGCTCGACGGACGATGATAAAAAGTTGCTGTTGTTGATTGAAGAAAATTCGACTGTGACAGACAGTAAAGACGCGGTGGTTCGGTTGGGGCGGTCGTGTCTATATTAAGGTACAGGGTGCTTTGCTCACGCGGATGAGGTGGCCACGGGTACAGTACAGTACAGTACAGTAGTCGAATAAAGTTATACGAAAATTGGACAAAAAAAGGAGTCGCGCGACGAGGAAAAGCGGAAGAGAAGCGAGAGACGGAGTCGCGATTACGAGGGATTTGTTGTCGAGTTAATTGGTGGCTGAAAACGGCCGGACCAGGGAAATAATGGATATTGTTGTTGTTGAGAAGAGAGAAATGAGATGAAAGGAAAAAGAAGAAGAGCCCAAGCGTTTGTAGTAAGAGGATGTCAGCTTAGTTTAGTCAAGAGAGAGGCAGAACAGATGGGAGTGAGTTCCTTGACCTCCATAAGATTGGGTCGCTGAAACAGCCCAAGCAGGGGG